GTAGAGTGTGGTGGCATCACAGCTCACAGGAACCTCAAACTCTTGGGCTTAAGCAATCCTCTTGCCTCATCCTCCCATGTAGCTGGGACTATAGGTGCCTGCCACAATGACTGGCTATGTTTTAAAGATGAGGCCTCCCTCTGGCTCAGGCTGGTCTCGAACTCGTGAGCTCAGGCAACCTGCCTGCCTCTGCCTCCCAGAGTGCTAGGATTACAGGCATGAGTGACCATGCCTGGCCATTAGTATGCATTATAAAACTATAATGGAGCACAAGTTCTGTGCTACCTTGAGGAGATAAGATTGGTGAACAAGAGTAATAAGATTCTTGCCCATATGGAATTTATATTTTAACAAGATAGATGATAAGCAAGTAAACAACAAAAAATATTTTGATCATTATAATTTTGTAAAGAAAATAAAACCAGAAAATTCACAGTTAACATGTGGCAAAGTGGCTAAAGAGAAACCAGCAGTCAGGAAAAATTCATCTTGTAAACCAGAACTTGAATGACAAGAAAGACATGCATGGGGATTTGGAGGTTTTGCATTAAATACAGCATAAATAGCTGATGCAACAACTCAAAAGGTGAGAACATGCTTGGCTTGTTCCAAGGTGGAAATCGCCATCTTGCTATATGAGGATGACTTGGAGACATATTTCTGACTCTGCACATGTAGTGATAACTTATATGGGCTTCTCCATTCTCATCAAGAAAGGGTCGGAGGGCATTGCCCATAACTGTCAGTAGGGTGCCAGCCACATACACTGAGGCTGGCAGGTTCAAACCCTGCCCGTGCCAGCTAAAACAACAATGACAACTGCAACAGAAAAAAGTAGCCAGATGTTGTAGTGGGTGCCTGTCCCAGCTACTTGGGAGGCTGAGGCAAGAGAATCACTTAAGCCTGAGAGTTTGAGGTTGCTGTGAGCTGAGACGCCATGACACTCTACCGAGGATGACATAGTGAGATTCTGGCTCAAAAAAAAAAAAAAAGAGTTGGAGAATGGGGAAGATTTGGCAATGTATTTCAGCTGTTTTCTTATTATAAAAGTGTTGGCAAAGATGACTGTATGTACAAAGAAATATTTCCAGCCCCTTCCACCAATAAATAATTTGCTCAATGCCAAATGCTTTTTAGTCAGAATCCTTAACAACTAACTAGAAATGAACCAAGGTGGAAAAAATCTAACGGCAATCCTTTTTCATGGGAGCACTAGTTTTGTGCTTTGCATTTCTATATGGCTCTTTCCTTGGATTCTTTACATCAAATTAAAGAAGAGAGCCAACAGATGGGATATATCTTGACTATGTCCTTAAAACTTTGAATTGAAAGTGTTCTTAATTTTCCATCACAATTTTAAGGGAAGATACTCTCAAAACAGTGCTTTCCCTCAATTTCACCATTTTTAAGTCTTAAACCTAATTACTCAATATCTGATAGTGGCAGTGTCTACCTCAAAGTCATTAGTATCATTTATTTTTTGATTTGGTCATTAAATTAAAATTAGCCTTTCCTGTGAAAGTTGACATTACCTAACTTAAGAAAATGAATTGCCTTCCTGAGCTTTCCTTTAGTCTTTTCCTATTTAGAATGTTCATTTTCTGTGCAGCAGGCCTTTTCTGTTACACTCCATGTAAAGTGTTAGTTATAGTGTTAAATCCTGTAAGCTCTCAATTTCTTGAGAGCTAGAAGTTGGTGGATAAGAAAGAAAATCCAAACAGTAAAATGGTGTCAGAATTTGCTATTTCCTTGTATTTCATGTCTCTTAAAAATTAGGAAAAGATAAAAAGACAAGCAGCCAAGGGAGGTGAAATTGATAACAGAATGACAAAATAAAACAATTAAATAATTTTCCCAAATCAGAACATGTATTTTTACATCTGGATACTCATTTGTTTTTAGAAAAGACTAATGAAATTGCTCTCAAGATGGGAGTTGATGTCAAGTCTTAATGGCTGGTGACAACAGCATTGTCACAAGATCATGTCCCTTCACCTAAAAGGTCAAGCATCTACAATAACTCTGTTTTCTGAAGATTTTCTTGAAAATTGGAGGACAAATCTGAATTAGGTGCATGGATGGGGCATATCTAACGCATGGACCTCTGTAATCTGTGTCCAAGCCAGAAGTGCACTCTGATAGAAGAATATTGTCCTGGAGAATAAATAAATATGTAAAGACAGATGGGTCATCAGCCTTCCTTTGCTAGAGTGCTGAGAGAAACAAATCCCTTTACATACACAATTATGTGTATATGAAATTAACAAAAAGGCATTGATATCTGATGGGTTGTTTGGGGAATGACTCCTTCAACAAGAGAGAAAAATGGCTGACCAGAATATGAACACCCTGTTACTGATAGTGTACACAGTTACTGAAGTTTTAATTTAAACAAGTGTGCAACCTTTATAAAAAATGTTTTTGGCCTGCCAGAACCACAGCTACCTGCAGCCAGTAGACTTAGATATAAAAAATAATCCAAATTTGAATGCTGGAAGTTTTTGCACATTATGAGAAGTATTGCTCCAATCACAGATTTAAAATAAATGGCATATTCTTGTGGTAATGAGAAATCTAACTGCTGTGTGGCAACCAGATAGCTCAGTAGTAATTCACAACTGCTTTGCAAAAGCTAGTATTAGAACCACTGATGGCTCTGATGAAGAGAGGAGGATACAGGATGACTCTTCATGGCCATGACCTGCAAAGGGAAACAAACTGTCCCACATTCAAGTGTTGTTTATTTTGTAGATATTGATAATGTGTTAGATCCACTGCTGATTTTGAATTTCAAATAAGGACAACAATCCTTGTTATAGGTATGTTTTTAGCATAGAAGAACAGAAAGAAAAGTTTCCCAGAAGAAAAGCAGCATAAACAGCACTGGTGATCAGTGATATGCTGCAATAACATGAATTATTTTTATTAGAAAGAAATAGAATATTTCTAATATAGAAATACTTCTATATATTCTAATATAGAAATATAGAAATATTCCAATATATAAAAATATTTCTATATATTCTAATATAGAAATATAGAAATATTTCTAATGTAGAAATATTTGTAAGCCACAAAATAACATGTCAGGATTCAATCCTACTAAGCAGAACATGACTAGAGTTTTGTATGGTAAGTGTTTTTGTTTGTTTGTTTGTTTACCTCAACAGACATTTCTGGAGCACCTAGTACAGGAAAGCTGGTTTTTAATCAAGGCTTCATGTATTCTTAGCTTTTTAATATTTGTCAAGACCAGCAGCAGATTTCTCCTAGTCAGATCAGGTCATCTAAATTGTTAATTCTATAATTCCAGGCTTAGTAGTTATAGGAACTGAAATCGCAAGTGAGACCTTTTCTTCATAAACTCAAACTTTCTAAAATCATGGCTTACAGAGATTCCATTCTTTGATAATGTGATGAAATGGTAACAGGGGAAGCATTATGTGCAAAGTCATGAAATAAAGGACATTGTCTGTCTTGTTCACTGCTATATGTTCAGCATCTGGAACAGGCCCTGGCTCATTGCCAGCACTTAGTATACATTTGTTGAAAGAATGAATGGATGAATGAATGAATGTCTCTGCGTTAGTTAGAATTCTCCAGAGAAACAGAAGCACTAGAAACACACACACACACACACACACACACACACACACACATATACGGTTGGACAACCCTAGAAAAAGTGCTGCATACCTCATTGCTGAATATTACTATGTTCACCTTTGAAGTACTCCCCTTCTCGCCTTGGTCATCTAGCATTTAAAGATTGTCAACATTTTTCATATATATGTATGACACATACAGGGTGGCCATAAAATCTGTGTCTAATGAGAGAGAGAGAGAGAGAGAGAGAGAGAGATTTAGTATGAGGAATTGGCTTGGATAATTAAGTAGGCTGTCTCTACTTAATCACTAGTCCCACAATGTGCCATTTGCAAGGAGACCGAGGAACATAATTCACTCTGAGTTTGAAGGCCTGAGAAGTCAGGGGGAAATACTGGCGTAAATCCCAGTCCAAGTGCTGGAGAAGATGAGATGAGATGTCCCAATTCCAGTAGTGAAGCAGGGGGAAAAAAACAGAGCAGAACCCTAAGGAACACTAACATTTCAAAAGAAAACAAAGAGCTGCCACAGAGGTGGGAGGAGAATCTGGAGGGTGTAGCATGTTGGAAAGAGCTAATAAAATAAAAGGTTTCAAAAAAGAGGGGATAATCAATGTAAAATCCTTTAGAGACTAAGTGTAGTAATGGCAGAATAGGTAATGGTATCCTATTTGTTTCAGCTATACTGCTGAGAATTTGGGCTGGAGAGGTGGGAGAAAGATCACTAGCTTAATCCTGTGTGTGGTAAGAGAATTTTGGGTATGGGATTGAGAAAGGTGATTTTGGAATGTTTTAGATGAGAAAAAATTTGACAGTCTTTAAATGCTAATAATAAAGAGCAAGTCATCCACCCAAAATCCATTGAGGAGTCAAGGGACATAAGGGTTCATCAGAGAAGCCGGATTCTGAGTCAGCAAGACTGAATAGGGATGTAAGGGAACGGGGTAGATGAAAGGGAAGTAATTGTTTGTTATTATCGTTGTTGCTAAAGAATGGGAGAAAGGATTGGTGAGGGTTACAAAAAAGTTAGAAAATTTCATGGCGAACGTGGCGTGAGTTTCCGTCAGATGAATCCTAACGTGTCGGTGAAGTAAAGGCAACGTCATTACCCGCTGAGACTAAGCGGGGAAGATAAGAGGGGCAAACTTGGTCATGATTTATGTCTCTGGCTCAATTCGGGTAGATTCTTTTTGCAGCTCTGCATCTTCTTGTCTTCCCGGGCTACTGCATGGTGTTTGACATTAACAGCCTGTTACACTCAGAGATACTCCAGTCACTCCAGTCGGAACTACCACTCCCGGAATGCAGTACGGCTCCTGGGTTAGTGTGTTTGATGGCAGGGGGGCGGGGAGGAGACTTTAAATGTGATAGGCCCTGCCTCAACGCCTGCTCACCATTGGAGGAGCGCTCACACTCCCAGGAGGCCACGCGTAGGCGGGGCGCTTTACACGGAAGTCAGCAGCGTCGGGTCCCATCTTCCCCGGGAGCCGGCAGTTGGCGACCCCGCGCTGACTCACTACCCTGGGTTCACAGCCTGCGCGCCCTTAGAGGGTACCTGGACAGGTAAACGGAGCCGGATACACTCTGCTGAAGGCAGGAAGACAACGGTGGAGGGAGGGCGGAGGTATCGACAGGAAGGTGCTAGGGTGGAGCGAGGAAGCAGTGTAATGGTGACTTTTGCTTCTCTGGTGTGTACAGTTCGAATTGTCCGACAGGTCCAGCTTTGGCTAAGTGCGTTTTATGCTGCCGAAAAGGCCTCTAGTTAAACAATGTCAGAATGCGTCACTTAAGTTCTCATTACAAAAAGGAAAAAAATGATAACTTTTCCTCAGTTTGCATTCTGCAAGACCTTTCTGTGGCTTTTGAATCTTTTGAGATCGACTGAGTCTCCTAAAAAACTCTACATCCTTGTTCGATGACGTAACTTTCTGCTTCACCATCTGCTTCATGTTCCTTCATGGATTCCTAGCCCCCTGTTCGCCCTACCGCCACCGCCCAGTATTGACATTGTGCCTCTTCCTTAATTAGAAACTGTCTTCACCCAGACCTGTTTCCTCAGCTTCAGAACTGTCTGTTACTGTTACTTTTTATTACTAGCCAATGTTTATCAAACTCTGACAATGCTAGACTCTTTGGTAAATGCTTTACATATCCCTCTCCCATAACTCCTACAAACAATTAAGTCCTTTTAATTCTGTCATATTAATTGTTCTCAACTACCTGTGTACCCCCTTCTCACACCCTTGATCCCAGAGGATGCTGTCATGTTTGGAGTATTCTTTCCCTTTTCAATACCTGTGGTAGAGAGCAGATCCATTCATATATTTAACAGATATTTATTTAACAGCTAACACATGCTAGACACCCTTCTAAGTGCAGGGGATATAGCTGTAGAGAAGACATAAGAGGCTGCTACTCTTACAAACTTATATATTTGGGGAGGGTGCAAACAAGAATAATCAAGATAATGTTATATGTTGGTTAATGCAAAATAAAACGGGGTTGACTTGACAGGTTAGGATCCTGTTCTGATAAAGTCAAAAGGATTGAGCTGAGTGGGTCTCAGAGCACTGCCCCCCCCCCCAATATTTGTAGTACCAACAAGAATTATCTTGATCTGAAACTGGACTTTTCATAAACACCTCTTCTTTCCCCTTGTTATAGCAATTTTTATTCATCATTCTTCTGTTTCCTTTAAGGTTATTGCATCAGAATTAATGGTTTATTTGTCATTGGCTTATTTTCTTCTCTAAGATTCAGACAGGAGAGTTGTGGATTGAATTACTATCTGCTCAGCTCAACTGGCTTATCTTACTGAGAAAAACAGTTTGATAGTGAAAATATTCTTACTATGTCATACTGAATATATAATTATAGTATATGTAAAACCAAAATATGCTCACTGTGTACTTGTTTATTCAACAAATATTGAAGGAATATTACATGCCAGGCTTTATGCTGAGCACTGGGGAAATAGAGTATAATAGGCACTGACCTCTCTTCCAAGGAGAAAGAATCCTGACAGTATTCTGAGAAGACTGCTGAGGGCATACATAGGCTGACATGTACATTTCTTTCTTTTCTTCCTCCAAGATGAGAAAATGGTAAAACTTTAAGAAATCCTCTGAACAGTTGTGAACATTTTGGCATTATTCACTCTTTATACTTTATTGCATTTGTTTTTAATCTGTCTTCCCAACTGTACTATGGCTCCATTAAATAGAGGAGTCCTTTCTTCAACTTTATACCTCCAGTGTCTAGTTTGGTTATTATATAGTAAGCCCTCAATATGTATGTGTTGAACTATAATAGACTCTCTGTTTGATCAAATTCAAATGACTTAATGTATACAAGGCCCTTCTTTATGTAAGGCCATAGCCCTATTCCTAAGCTTTCTCATTCACCAGATCTGGACCATTCCATTTTATCAGGCTAGTTTATTTACCTTTCTTAGCTTCTCACCTCTTTTTCTTCCTTGTTCTATAAGTTTCTTCTAAAATGAGTTCCCATCTCTTTCCTGAGCATCTTGTACACCCTGCCTTTAATTTAATGGACCAATTAATTTAATAGTATGCTCATGATGTAATGAAGGAAAAAAATTTAGTTTTCATTGTATATTTTCTATGAAAAATTCTGTTATGAAGTCTTGCAAGAATTAACACAATACAGCTCCTTACAATAATATAAATAATGATACAGAATGATTTCTTTTGATTTTTCACTGACTATTATCATGTGCTATGTGGTGAATTAATCCTCCCACTTATTTATTTGAATGTTTATACTACCTTTGTTCATATAGCACGTTATGGTATCATTTGGTTTCCACTTGGTACAAACATCTTTGAGTATTATTGTCTCCTTAGTTTGGGATAATTTATGTGTTAATGTTATTCTGTCACATTGTCATTTTCAGAATGTCAGAATTCTCTGTTCTTAAAGTGTTATTCCATACAGGTATCTTTCAATTGTAAATCATGACTACAAAAAAAAAAAAAAAAAAAAAAACACCGTCTTTATAGATCATTAAAAACAGACAGGAGTACAAGAGTGCTTAAGTAATGACTATCATGATTTTGGGACGTGCCAACCTAACATCAGCCAGATAACTTCTAAGACACTGACAAATAAACATGATCATTTTAGGGGCGTTCTTGACACCTGTGCCTTCATAGACATGAATGAAAGTGCAATACTGAATTGTGTGCCATTGCCCATTTATAAGATACACATGTAGATGATCCAGAATATTCTTATACATTTTTGGTGTTATCAAAATAAAAATACAGAATTCAAATATTTCTCAGAACACTTGGATTTGAGTGTGAGAAACACTGAATTGACCTTTCATCCTACTCAGTTTCCCGAAACTATCTTTAACCTCTACTTGAAGATGGTTCCACTGAGGAGGAACATTTTCATCATTGCTGGTCTGTTTTATTACCAAATTGTTTTATGCAAGCAGCCCTTACTTACAAAGGGGCATATTCCAAACTTTCCTTTATAAGCTTATTTGAAACTCTGGGTGCATCTTCCTCTATAAATAGTGCTATCCATGACAATTTAGGTTGTTATGACAACCAGTAGTACTTTTAATTTAGTGGGTTTCAAGATCTTCCCCACAATTTATAATCATTCCTCTATCAAAAAAAATGCGTCTAGAATTCTCATTTGGATTCCCCCATAGCATATCTTTTTTTGGAATTCCAGCAACTGGAACAAAAATATTCTTTCCTTAGAACCTTAACACAGTTGGAGACAGGCTTTTCTCACTCCAAGCTGTTGTAATTTACCTTTCTTGCCCATACCTCTAACGGCAGGCCTCAAATATCAGTGACAAAAAAGATGAGATAGACATTTTGAAGAGGAGAGGGAGGCAAGTTGAGGTGATTAGTATATGGAAAAGGAAAAGTAGTATTGATTTGGAAAGAATGGTGAGTTCTAAAATGGAGGTTTGCATTGCTTTCCAGCCTTTGGCCAAAGTCAGGTTTATTATCTGTTCTTATCAGTTTAAAATGGTGGTTTGTTGTGAGTCAATTGTTTTCTCCAAAGAGCTGTGTTGAACACCTAATCCTTGATGCCAGTGAATGGGACCTTTAGAAATAGGGTCTTTGTAGATGTAATTGAAGTATAATTTAAAATGAGGTCATACTAGAGTAGAGTGAACTTTTGATCCAATATAACTGGCATCCTCATAAGAAGAAAAGAGACACAGAAATAATGTTATGTGACTTAAAAGACAAAGGTTGAAATGCTATGGCTCCAAGCCAAAGAACACCCAAAGATTATGAGCAAACTACCATAAGCTAGAAAGTAACAAGGAAGAATTCTCTCCTCCAGGTTTCAGGTGGAGCAGGGCTCTGCCCACATCTTGTTTTTAGATTTCTGGTCTTCAGAATGGAGACAGGAAAGTTCTGTTGTTTTAAGCCGCCTAGTTTTGAATACTTTACTCTGGCAGCCATGGAAAACTAACATGGGATTTATGTAGGAATGAAGTAGAATTGAGATGATGACTCTTGGGAATAAGTGGGGAGTGAATATGAGAACAGAGAGGAACAGTGTGGAATCAGGGCTTTCCTTTATATTGCATTATCTTTTTTCCCTTCTCTATGGCTTATCCTTTTATTTTCTTCCTGATTATTATCTTTATATAGAAGTTTATGTCTTAAATACTGGCATTCACTTACTGCTAATAATTAGCAGAGGCAGGTTTTCTGACTTCAGATGCAGTGTTCTTTCTACTGCAGTTGTTTCTATTATCCCAGTACTCATCATGACATTACAAATCTTATTGCAAGAGAGTTACAGTGGGGGCAAGTGAGACTTTGATTGTAGGCAGCATTTTTAGTAGTGCAGAAGAGAGGAAAGAATTCCTAGTAGCGACATCTGGGAGGATAATAAAGTTTCTGTTTCTGCATACCCAGTGTTTAATAGACATATTTTACTTGGGGACTCCTTTTATTGGAAAAAACACTGTTTCTGTATAACTTAGAGGCAGTGTTCCTAGTTATACTCTGAATAATGTACTCCCTGTTCCAGGTGACTATACTTCATGTAAATTTGAAAAATTTGAAAACTACTGTCATAAACCTTTTAAGTCTTCTCTTTGATGTTAAATATTTCTAGCTCCTCCAGCCATTCTTTAGGTGACAACTGTCTCTCAGCCATACTGTCTCCTTTTGTCTAATCTGAAAATATTATACCCAGAATTGAATTTATTATTCCACATGTGTTCTAACCAGCACAGGGTATAATGGCAATAGTACTTAACAAGATCAGAACACCCTATTTCTTAATATAATTTTAGATTATGTAAGAATTTTAAGCAGCATCTCATGTTGTTGGTTTATAAAGATCTTATGGTCCACTAAAACACTAGATCTTTTTGTATTAGTTGTTGCCAAGTTCAATTTTCTTGAAGCTGCTCAGAGACTTAGGCTGATACTTTTTCATATCTCTGTCTCAGAGACCAGATGATTTCTTATCTCTGTTTCTCTTTGTGTATTGGTTACCCTTCACCTTCTATCTTTTTCAGCCTAAGCCTTCTTTGTTATAAAACTTCATTGACTGTTTTATAGTCTTCATTGTCTGCATGAGTAAAGACAGTTAGGAGCTGATACTTGTCCTTCATGAGGCTAATTTCCCTTTGGCATCTGGGCCACCATACTTTCCTAGCTTTTTTCACTTTCATAGTTGGTGCTCCTCACTCTTTGGGGGTCTTTATTTATCTACCTTTCTGTCAACTGTTGGTTGTGCTTTGGGTTTTATCTTTGGTACTATTCTGTTTTTCTTTATGCAGTATATCTTTAGCATATAATCATGTTTAAAATAGAAGGTCTAGATGAGTTCACCTGGGAGTAAGAGAGCATAGAATCAATGTCTGAGGAAAATCAGCAGTTAGAGATCAGGAAGAAGAGGAAGAATGAGCAAGAAGAAAGAACAGCCAGAGATGTAGAAGTGTTTCAAAATGGAGGGTTGGTCACTGGAGTTGACTGTTACTGAGAGATTGAGTAAGGTAAGAATAGAGAAATTACCACTGTATTTTGCAATGTAGAGGCTTTTGATGATGACATGGTTTTGTGGAGTGTTAAGGGAAAAAACATTATATTAAGTTGAAGAGTTAAAAGGAGATAGAGAAACAGAGCTAGTGTGTAGACAATGATTTTAAGAAACAGAACAGTGTGATACATGGTCAAGGGAGGCTTTTAGTATCACAGGAGTTAAAGTCTGAGACAGTGATATGGAAACTATAACTTGCTACATATGTGTAATAATTCCGGAAAGAAGATGGCTGAGGACATGACCCTGGGTAGCAACCTCATTCACAGAGAATAAAGCCAAGACTCTGAGAAGGGTTCACCTCCAGAAACAGATGAGCCTTCTGCTCTGTGTGTTTTCTTCAGTTCTGGGATTCCAATAAAGGGTCAGCAAATTTCCTGATCTCATTAACTTTATAGTCTGGTGCCATGTTTCAGAAAGTATGATTGTGCCAATAACCTGCATCCATACAGGCTTGTTTTAAATACAGATTTCAGGACCCCACCTCAGGCCTACAGAATCAGAATTTTAGGGGATGATGCCAACCAAGCATTTACATTTTTAGCAAGTAACTCTTACTCTGCCACCTAAAATGATTCATATTCTCACTATAATTTGAGAACCACCGGTATGTGGAGTAAAACTGAATGTATTAACCAATAACATTAAGTTTAGCAGTTAATTGAAGACTAATAAGGCATTTTGCTCATCTCTTATAAGTTTATTCTGTTGAGAGAAACTGGACTGCTGTGTGGAGAGGAAGCACATATTCATAGCCAAACATAAGGGAAATAATCTTAAATTGTTTTAGTAATGGTTTGTTTCTAAAGGGTCTTACCATAATTTTTAAAACTCTCCCTATCTTGTGGAAGGTTTAGGTTATTTTCACTTTCTTTCTATTATGTATAAAGCCTTAATACTAGAGGCAGTATACAATAAAGGGATAAGAATATGGATTCTAGAACCATACTGCCTGGGTTTAAATAGCAGATCTGTCAGTAGTTCTGTAATTTTGGGCAAAGTAAAGTCATCTGTAATACAAGTGTCATAATAGTGTGTAATCTCATTGAGTTGTGAGGAGTAAATGAATTAATAATTACAAAGTACTTAAAGGGTGCATGATATATAGTAAACAAATATAATAGACATGTTAAATATCAGCTATTATTATTGTTAATGATTATCTTTGTGAATCTAGAGTCTTAACTTCTGTTGAACTATTTTCCTAGGATAAATTTTCGAGGTGGCATTAAAGACTGAGGACTTCTATATGTCCCTTTGCTATCTGTAGTTATTGCTTTTCAAAATGTGATATCAGTTAGTGCTGTATAATTTGCAAATGCAATATATTTATCAATGGTGTGTGTGTATGTATCCTGGGTATCTCTTTATATGTACGCATATCATCATAGCTTAGGTTATAAGCTTGTAGAAAACTGTGACCTTCTTGTTAAGCCTGTTATTAAGTATGTTGTTAAGTTCCATGTTACAGTGCCTTGTTCGATACCGCAGGTAGATGTTGATAAAATGATAGTTACTTTTGGATGATCATATCAAAGAAATATTCTAAATCTGTGTCTTTTTTTTCCTTTTATTAGATTGAAGCCATGGCCATTCTTTTTGCTGTTGTTGCCAGGGGGACCACTATCCTTGCCAAACATGCTTGGTGTGGAGGAAACTTCCTGGAGGTGACAGAGCAGATTCTGGCTAAGATACCTTCTGAGAATAACAAACTAACATACTCACATGGCAAGTGAGTTCTGCTTTGCATGTGGTAGGGGGTGAAAGAAGGGCATTCTATTATTATAGTTAGAGTAGTAGAAAACTAGAAAACAAGCTTCTAGGTAGATAATTTAAATAATCTGACAGAATGGTAACATTCACCAGCCCTGAAAATGTCTGGTTTCATTACTTATAAATTTAACTTGTAATTATTTTAGTCTGTCATTGAAATGATATTATTTTGAAGAAAGGCAAAGAGATGTTAAATATAAAAATTACTTAGCTCTGGAGCTTTAGGATATGTAAAATGATATAGATAATATAAATAATAGTCCTTTGTTCATTCTTTCAGTAAATATTTACTAAGCACTTATCTATTGCCAGACATTTTGCTAAGTGCTGAGCATATAAAAGAAATACAGTATTTGCCCTCATAGAGATTATAGTTTAATGAGAGAGACTGTCAAATCTATAGATATTTATATGTGTAGTAGGGGGTGGGAGGTAGTGGGTACAGGGATGGCATTCCAAGTAGAAGGAATAGCAGGTAGGGAAGTATGGTGGAATGAGATCATAGGACATATTTGGGGAACTACAGGTTGTTCTCTGGATAGTGCCCAGGATAGTGATGATAAAGCTAGAGAGATGGATAGAAGAAAAGTCATATAGGATCTGATAAACATGTTAAGAGATTGAACTTTACCCTGTGGATAGTGGGAAGGCATTGAAGGTTTTCAGCCAGAGTATGATGTGGTGAGGTTTTGCTTTCAAAATATTACTCTGGTGGCTGATTATAAAGGGCATAGATGGGAAATCTTAATAATCAGATAAAAAATACTTCAACCTTTCTGATCAGTATGTGAAAATCTCTTGTTACATAAGCCATCTTATTCCCTTAGTTCTTATCTCAGAATAAGGTACTTATTTCTTTCTGGAGCTAACATGTTATACAATTTAGGGTCTAGTCTAAGCTCTTATGAGAAAGACCCCAAAATACAGTGTTAAATTAAATGAGATAGTCTAGAGGTGAGTGGTTTGGGGATTTGGCGGTGGCTCTGCCATTATCAATTAGAGCTTCCCCTCTCTTTCTAAGGCAGCCTCTTTAGTTCTTATTACATCCCAGTGCTTGACCAGAAGTGGTCTGATGTTTTATTGTTTATTATAAGCAGAACTTTCTGCTTATATTTTATTATTTGCTATGTAGTCATGTAGATAACCTAGCTAGAAGGGAGGCCAGGTCATCTCTGGCTATGTACTCAGAACTCTGTTACTCTGGAGGAAGTTGTAGTGTATCAAGGGATCATTTTTAGTCTTTCATTCAACTCTTCTGGCCATCCAAATACCTGGAATAAACTATTTTTCACAAACATAGAATATGTCTCTTCTTTGAAGAATGTAGCTCCAAAAACCTGTCTTTTTTTTCTTTCTTTCTTTTTTTTTTTTTTTTTGCAGTTTTTGGCCAGGGCCGGGTTTGAACCCACCACCTCTAGTATATGGGGCTGGTGCCCTACTCCTTTGAGCCACAGGCGCTACCCCCCAAAACCTATCTTGTCACTGTGTTTAGCTCCGTGTTCAAATTGTGTGGTGAAGCGCAGGTCCAGGAGTGGGCCCTGTGGTCCACTAAAAGACAAGTCATGTTTTTCACATTTCAGACAATGGTAAAATAAAAATAGGATTACCACAGAAACTTTCCATTTGAAGAAGGGAAGAATGAAGAACATGTAGAAGTCACTGCTTCCTAGCAATAAAATGACTGCCTCACAGCAGTTTCAAAGACTCCCTGTTCTTACTGGAAAGTGTTTAGTCATTTTACCTTCTTGGAGGAACTCCCTCATCTTGTCTTCCTGACTCCTGGCTTTGTTCTCCAGGAGATTCTTCTTGGTCCATTGTCTTTTGTCCATATCTAAAATGGATGTTAGAGAGTGTGTCATCTTTGGTAACTATACAAGTCTTATAGAATGCTTCCTGCCAGTATAGGTTTGGGGGCCCAGAGGATGCTTTAGGGGTTAAATAATCCAAGCCTCTTGTGATTATAGCTTTATAATTTCTTAAAAAATGTTTTAGGTTTATTAATATGTATGTTTCTGGTCAGTTCCCTGGAAAATGCTCAAGGAAAATATTTGCAATCCTTTTAGAAGCAAGGCTAAGATGTGGGACATATATCTTCTACTCACATGTTATGAACCATGAACTTAGTCATGTAGCAATATCTATCTACAAGAGAGGCTATAATATGTAATTCATTTAAAATGTGGTTATAGTAAAAGAAGATATTATCTGACTGCCATGCTTCTGTCCTGTGTCCTAATGTAGTCCTCCCCTCTACTGTGGTGAGATTCCATCATTGAGATATTTTTTAACCCATCTGCATTGTTTTTCTCCTATAATCATTTTTCATCATTCCAATAAAAAACATTTTATTACCGTATACCAAAAGAAAAATTCCATTTTACTTCATGTTAAACACTTTTCCCCTGAAATCTGTTCTTTTGCTTTAATAGCATCACTGGCCACTCAATTGGATAACCCTAAAACTTTCAGAATCATAATAGACTTCTTCACTATATCCTTGCCATTCTCCTACAAGAAGTATTTTAATCTATTTCCTTGTCTCTACCCCAGCTGTTACAGTGTTAGTTCAGAATTTCATTATTGCTCATTTACTACATCCTCCTTCTAAGTGGTCTTTCTACTTCTGGTTGCTTCCATCTTAAATCTGTATTTCACATTCCTATGATGATACTTTCTTGCTCAAAACCCACTGCTTTTAGAATATAATCCCAACTCATCCTTCATAATTTTTTTTCTTTCTTTTGCAGTTTTTGGCTGAAGCCGGGTTTGAACCCACCACCTCCAGTTTGTGGGACTGGTGCCCTACTCCTTTGAGCCACAGGTGCCACCCCACCCTTCATAATTTTTTAATACATTCCTGACCTTTCTGTCCTTATTTCCATAAGACTCTTTGCCATTCTCTGACGTAGTTGTGTTATTTTGAGCTTTGGTAAATTTTTTCCCATGATTTTATATCTTCCGGGAATGTCATTCCCCTCCTAGGCCACCTTGTAAACATTTACTCACATAAGTTCCAAATGAAATACTTTCTTAATTTTTACTTTATCCCTCTAAAAAGGCAGTTCTGTTCATGTTCCTTCCTTTAGCATGTACTCCCTGTCCTCAGTGTCCATTTCCTTAACATGACTTGGAAGATTATTCAAGATCTGGCCCTTTTTATTTCTCTGGGCTCATTTCTTACTACTTTAGTCCTTTAGTTTTATTCTGCAGCCATACTTAGCTATTTGCAGTTCAATGTGAGAGTCCTTCTCTCTTTTTAGCCTTTTTAATAGCTGCTACCTTTTATTGGAGAATATATATATATATGTGTGTGTGTGTGTATATATATGAGAGCTGTATATATATGTATATATATGTATATATATATATAAGAGCTGTCTGGAAAGCTGCTACCTTTTATTGGAGAATATATATATATATATGTGTGTGTGTGTATATATATGAGAGCTGTATATATATATATATATGAGAGCTGTCCGGAAAGTAGCCATGTATGTCTCTGTTTTTTCATATTACATGGCTAGATACTTTCTGGGCAGCCTTTATATATCTGCTTGATTTTTTAAAAAAATCTGATTTAATGTTCCTGAGCTTAGATTTCTAGACCTCTTCTAGAAATCTGTTAAGTCAAGACTGAGTCAGGTGCCTCAGTCAGGCACACCTTTTGTGTCTACATAGTATCTAAAGTTGGTTCCTATTGTAACCATTATCACACAGTATTATAATTATAGTCTTAATTATTTGTCTCTGTCCCTGTCTATAGGCTCCCTGAAGGCAGGCATCAAACCTTGTTACCTTTTTTTTTTTTTTTTTTGTAGAGACAGAGTCTCATTTTATTGCCCTTGGTGGAGTGCTGTGACATCACAACTCACTCCAGCTCCTGGGCTTAGGTGATTCTCTTGCCTCAGCCTCGAGTAGCTGGGACTACAGACACTCACCACAACACCTGGCTATTTTTTTGTTATTGTTGCAGTTTGGCTGGGGCCAGGTTTGAACCTGCCACCCTTGGTATATGGGGCCAGCACCCTACCCACTGAGCCACAGGCGCCACCCAAACCTTTTTACCTTTTATGACCTGTGAACCAAGGAACTCCCCAGTCTGGTTTAGGAGAAACAAATTTTATGAGGAAAATAAAGACTTCCTTTTTTTTTTTTTTGGGGCGGGGCCAGGTTTGAACCTACCACCTCTGGTATATGGGGCCGCTGCCCTACTCCTTTGAGCCAAAGGCGTTGCCCAAGACTTCCATTTTGAAATGTCATGTTTAAGTTGTCTATGGTATGTCCAGTTGGATATGTCTAGTAGATGGTAGTATGTAGGCTTGAAGCTCAGAAGATAAGTAAAATCTAGATTTGAGAATCATCAGTTTATAAAGTATAGTTATATACTTTGTATATTTTCTATACAGGGTTTATAAAGTATAATTGTGGAATCTGAAAACAAGCATTAAAAACAAAACATGAGAGTGGCTCCTGCCCTCCAGAGACTGAATATGGGAAAAGCAGAGGGCTAAAGATACCAGAAAATGTCTGCATAGAGGGAAAGAGATTATGATATAAACCAAATATATTAGTCTGCTCAGGCTGCTGTAACAAAATAGAGTGAGTGGCTTAAACAACAGACATTTATTTTTCACAGCTTTGAAGACTGGGCAAGGGTTAGGGTAATTCAGTTCCTGGTGAGGGCCCTCTTCTTGGCTAGCAGATGGCTGCCTTCTAGCTAGTTCCTTACATAGTGGAGAAAGAGCTGGTGGAAAGAGTGCCTCCTCCCCTTTCCTCTTCTTTAAAGCCCCTAATCCTATCATAAGGGCCACACTTAGGATCTCATCAAACCCTGATTACCTCCCAAAGGCCTCATATCCAAATATAGTCACACTAGGGGTCAGGGATTTAACATATGAATTTTGAAGGGACACAATTCATTCCATAGCAAGAGGCAATGCTGGTATCAAGAAATCTAGTGGTATTTTCATGCTATGAAACTGACAGAGGGCTGATAACTAGAATCTACAGAGAACTCAAATTGATCAACAATAAAAGAGCAAAGAACACCATTTATAAGTGGACAAGAGACATGAACAGAAACTTCTCTGAAGATGACGGACAAATGTCCAACAAATGCATGAAAAAATGCTTATCATCCCTAATCATTAGAGAAATGCAAATCAAAACCACTCTGAGATGTTACCTAACTCCGGTGAGATGAGCCCACCTCACAAAGTCCCCAAACTGCAGATGCTGGTGTGGATGCAGAGAGAAGGGAACACTTTTGCACTGCTGGTGGGATTGCAAACTAATACAACCTCTATGGAAAGAAGTATGGAGAATCCTTAAAGAACTGAAAGTCAACCTTCCATTTGATCCCACAATTCCATTACTAGGTATCTACTCAGAAGAACAAAAATCATAAAGGACAATCAAAAACTATAAGGACATTTGCACCAGAATGTTTCTTAGAGCTCAATTCATAATTGCCAAGACGTGGAAGCAACCCAAGTGCCCATCTACCCATGAATGGATTAGCAAACTGTAGTATATGTATACCATGGAGTATTATTCAGCCATAAGAAAAGATGGAGTCTTCATATCTTTTGTGTTTACTGGGTGGCGTTGAAATACATTCTTCTTAGTAAAGTATCTCAAGAATGGGGAAAAAATTGTCCAATGTATTCAATACTAATATGAAACCAATATATAACGAACTACATGCTCACAAGAAAGAAAAAAATCACAAATATAGTTTCCCAAAGGGGAGGGAGAATGGAGGAGTTAAGGGGGAGAACAATTAGCTGGAGGAGAGAGGGCAAGTGGCAGGATCTCACCTAAGGTAAATAATGTGAGGGTATTCAGCATGCTTCCTGGGTAAAGGGCTCAACTACAACTTGAACTTTACATTAGAATTGAAAACAATGTAACCTAAACATCTGTACCTTCATATTAATTTATAATAAAAATATAAAGAAATCTAGTAGAAAAAAAACTTTCCAGAAGAATGAAGTGGCTAACAGTTATCAAATAGTTCAGAGGAGTTCCTTGGTGAAATTGGTGTGAACAGTTTCAGAGTAATAGAGAGATATTTGGCCCGAGTTTCCATACTTCCTTGTAATTTATGTCAGGCCTCTCTGTGGTCATTAATATAATTAACAGGTTTCCCCTGTCTATTCACTTGCTCAAAGTAGAAATCTGAGAGGCAAAATTTAGTTATCCTTCTGTCTTTTTCCTAGCAGCCAGTCACTAAATGGTATCTCCTATATCTCTTCTGTCTCTTCTTCATTGCCCGTACAACTTTTAGTTTATTTCCCTCATTCTTTCTTTTTTTAAATTCTTTTTTAAATCATAACTGTGTACATTAATGCATTTATGGGGTACAATGTGCTGATTTGATAAACAATGTGGAATGCTTACATCTAACTGATTAACATAACCATCTTGCTTATTTGTTGTGGCAAAAACATTTATACTTTAGTCTTAATAGTATAGAAATGTATCATTGCATTATACACATTAGGTTGGATACCCCCCAAACTCTCCTTCCTCCTGACCTCCCCCTTCCCTCTCTTTTCTCTTCCCTCTATCTTTCTGGACTGTAGTTATGTTGTACCATTCCTATGAATGTGTAGGTGATTATATACTGACTTCATAGTAGTACTGAATACATTGGATACTTTTTTTTCCATTCTTGAGATACTTTACTAAGAAGAATATGTTCCAGCTCCATCCAGGTAAACATAAAAGATGTGAAGTCTCCATCTTTTTTATGGCTGCATAGTATTCCGTGGTGTATATATACCAGAATTTGTTAATCCATTCATGGGTCGATGGACACTTGGGTTGCTTCTATGACTTGGCAATTATGAATTGGGCTACAGTAAACATTCTGGTGCAAATGTCTTTGTTGTAAAATGATTTTTGATCATCTGGGTAAATACCTAGTAGGGGGATGGCAGGATCAAATGGTAGCTCCACTTTTAGTTCCTTGAGTATTCTCCAGACTTCTTTCCAGAAAGGCTATATTAGCTTGCATTTCCACCAGCAGTGTAGAAGTGTTCCCTTCTTTCCACATCCATAACAACATCTGTAGTTTTGGGATTTTTTTATGTGGGCTAATCTTACTGGAGTTAGATGATATCTCAGAGTGGTTTTGATTTGCATTTCTCTGATGATTAAAGATGGTGAGAATTTTTCCATGTGTTTATAAGCCATTCGTCTGTCTTCTTCAGAGAAGTTTCTGTTCAAGTCTCTTGTCGACATAGAAATGGGGTTATTTGTTTTCTTATTGATTAGTTTGAGCTCTCTGTGGATTCTAGTGATCAGACCTTTGTCAGAAGCGTAACCTGCAAATATCTTTTCCCATTCTGAAGGCTTTTTGCCTTATTTACTGTGCTCTTGGCTGTGCAGAAGCTTTTTAGTTTGATCAGATCCCAGTAATATAATTTTGGTGTGGCTTCAATTGCCCGGGGGGGGGGGTCATCCTCATAAAAAATTCTCCCAGGCCAATTTGTTCAAGCGTTTTCCTTGCACTATCTTCTAATATTTTTATAGTTTCATGTCTTAAATTTAAATCTTTTATCTGGTGAGAATCAATCTCTGTTGTAGTCTCCTGTCCGGACTTCCTTTTAGCTAGTTCTCCACAGTTTAGCCAAAGCATCTTTTTTAACATGCAAATCTGATTATTATTTTCCTGGGCTAAAACCTTTTGATGCTTAGTCATTATTTTTAAGATAATGCACAGTGTGGTTTATAAAGTCTTTATCAACTGGTATTTGCTTACTTCTCCAGCTGTTCCTGTCCAGGCAGTTACCTTTCCCTCACATTGTATACCATAGTCATGTGAGCCAATTTTACTTTCCGATGTGCTCTTTTATCTCTAGGCCCTTATGCTTTCTGATTCCTCTCTGGAAAACTCTTTGCTTGCTCTTCACCTTGATGTCTCTTACTTATTCTTCAGGACTCAGATAAGATATCACTTATTTCAGGAAGTATTTTCTGTTACCTTTGGCAAATCTCCGTTATGTGCCTCTTTTATGTCCCCAGGGCATCATGTACTTTTTTTTCTCTGTTATCCCTTTTGTCACACTACATTGTAATTCCTTGCACTGTAATCCCTGTGAGGACAAGGGCTGATGGTTTTTCTTCTTCCTTTCTTTGGCATCTAGCACAGTAACTTGCTAAAAGTAGATACTGAAAAATTGTTGATAATTTGGTAGAAAAGGTGTTTGCTTTGAGATCTTAGGTAAAAGCAAGGAAGACTATATGGCTTATTAGGGTTAATCATAATTACATGTCCCTCTTAAGATGTCATCTCTTGTTTAGGCCTTAAGAGTCCTATTATTTTTTGGCAGCTATCATTTTAATGGGTAAGGCACATGCTGTTATGCTTTGTAGCTAGGGTAGAGACCTTCTTTTAATTTCTTATTTATTCCTATCAGTTTGACTTGAAAGAAGCAGGTATATGGGGGAGAATAGACTATATCTGTAAATGATACAATGAAGTTCACAGTATTGAACTTGCTTATACAAAGACAAGATAGAAGTAAAAGATATTTTGCTTGTAACTACAGTAAGTTTTATCTTTTATTCTACAGTTATTTGTTTCATTACATCTGCCAAGACAGGATTGTATATCTTTGTATCACTGATGATGTAAGTAACTTGAAGACATACTGCTGTTTAACTGTGTGCACTGTTAATATAGTCAGTTCATAATTATCTATACTTACGGTGGGTAAAGGTTATGCAAAGCTTTTTATAGCTCGAAAATTTTTATGTATTTTGGATTTGCGCTAAAGAGCAGCAGATGACAAAAAACCCATGATATGTGGGTATGTGCATATTAGCTTTGTTTTGGTAGAGGTTTAGCTTAACCTCTTGCAACTTCTATATTTATCCTATTATGTAGTAAAAACTGGTGTTCAAAAATATGATTCTTTGATATCACAGCTTCTCAAAAATTGTTTAACTGGAATTAGATAAAGTCAAATTATTTCTCCAATCAATAGTTAATGAACTTTTTAATGTGCAAGGATTTTGGAAAAGAAAATCACAATACATTATGATTAGCTGTGTGAAACTGTAGTTTACACTGGTTGGATTGTTTTTTGAATATTTGTAGGCTCTAAACCCAAATGCTCAATAACTTGCTGATGTCATCAAAATCCCTCCTCTCTACTGCTTTCCTTAGTGTTGACTTCTTCCTAAATGGGTTACCCTATTGTGTAGAGCTATGTTCTTATTTATTCATGTCCAGGGAAAAGGGACTGTGTCTTCTTAAGTCTCTTATTGTAGAAATGATGAAACATCCCAGACACGTGCCCTCTCCTCTTCCTTTCATGTCTTACTAGCTACATGCTTATTTTTAAACTGATCAGTGACAAGAGGTGTGGAATTGGCATGATTTTCATAGATCAGGGTTCCTAATTTTTATCATGTCACAGACCCCTTTGCCAGTCATTGGCCTCTCCCAGAATGTTTTTAAGTAAAATACATGATTATAACAAAAACAGTTATATTGAAATATATGTATAGTATTTAAAATGTTTTAAAAATTGATATAGTAATGTATATGCTTCTTTATGAACTCAATAAGATCTAACCATGGTCTAATAACTAATAATTTTAAAATGGTGATGAGTATAAACAGTATTTCAAATAGCTGTTAAGTATATGAAAAAAGATGTACTTTGGTGACAGTTACAGTACTGTTTAATACTCAGGTTGTGAATATACTGCCTATATTCAAATTGAAATTTAGGTAAAATATTGGTAATAATAATTATGTGATTTTTTTTCCTACCCAAGTACAAAGGCCACTTGAATTTGGATCATTGACCACAATTTAAGAACCCTTGGCTTAAACTAAACATCTTGGATGAAATGGAAATGACTGTCAACCATAGTGATCATCACAATGATTTTTTTTTAATTTCAGATTAATATAAAGGTACAAACAATTAGGCTACATTGTTTGCGTTTGTAAGGTAAAGTCCAAGTTGTAGTTGAGTCCTTCACCCAGGAGCTGTACCACGTACCCCTACGTTGTACCCATTAAGTAGTTTACGAACCCTCTTCCCCCTTTTCCTCCTTCCTTTTTCCGCCTTCTTGAATTTAATTGGATCACAGTGGTTTTTATTCCTGGCTTCACAGAATTCTCTAAAATCAGAAAAAAATTCCAGCTATATCTGATATGACTGATGTGAAAGAGCTTGGAGTAGATTAATAATATTATGAAATCTGGGATAGTCAGAGTTGAGCCTTGTATTTCTAATTTGATACACACACACATACATAAACACACATATATACATACTTTTTGACTGGCTGGGACTAGACAAGGTTATGTCACTTGATCTTTTCAAATGTACCACCACTTTTGAAAAAAATCAGTGTTTATGTCTGTAGCATTGTCTTTGTGTATGAAAGACTGTGCTATTATTAGGCATTTATTGAACATCTTGTGCTGGGCCTTCTAATAGATCCTAGGAAAGATATGTAGGAAGTGAAACCCAATTTCTGACATCAATAAGTTGTTTAACTTAGGTACCATTATCTTGCTAGACATATCTGGATTAGACTTTTAGCTCTGTCGTTTACAAGTTGTTGGACTTTTGGTAAATTAGTTACCTTTTCAGAGCCTTTGTTTCCTTATCTTTAAAATGAAATCAATGCTAGTTCCTTCTTAGAGTCACTGCTCAGTAAATATTAGCGGTTTTTATTATTGTTGTTGTTAATTATCCACATCATCTTTACTTTTTAAATGTGAGCTCTGTTTTGGTCTCTTCTAAGGATTTTGAACGTTCCCGAGCATTTAATTTTCTGAATGAGATAAAGAAGAGGTTCCAGACTACTTACGGTTCCAGAGCACAGACGGCACTTCCATATGCCATGAATAGTGAGTTTTCAAGTGTTTTGGCGGCACAGCTGGTAAGATCTTTCTCAGGATAAAGTATTTTGATTCACATTTCTTTTTTATTACATTAAAACTTGACGAACATAGGGTGCCCTAATCTTAAATACACTTTTCTGATTGTTACTATATGCCAGCATAATATGTGTAAAACTTCCCTGATGTAAAAAAAAGTAAATGGGCCATTTTAGGGTAGAAAGCAGTAATGTTCTCTATTAAGAGTGGTCAGTGTATCTCAGGAATAGGAAGAACATTAAAGATAATCTAGTTCTACTCATGTAATCATAAATGCATTCAACATGCCAAATGGCCTTTTAACCTATACATAAACTTTATACATAACCTATACATAAACTTTCTACCTTTTCTTGAGGCAATTTAATATTTGAAGAACTCTGTTCAGGCTCAGGGCCCTTAGCATAGTGGTTAGGCTCCAGTCACATACACCAAGGGTAGCGGGTTCGAACTCAGCCCAGGCCAACTAAACAATTGCAACAAAAAAATACCTGGGTATTGTGACAGGTGCCTGTACTCCCAGCTACTTGGGAGGCTGAGGCAAGAGAATTGCTTAAGCCCAAGAGTTTGAGGTTGCTGTGAGCTGTGACACCACGGTACTCTACCGAGGGTGACATAATAAGACTCTGTCTCAGAAAAAAAAAGAAAGAAAGAAAATCTGTTCAACTGTATGAATCCCTAATTGTGAGCTCAGTAAAGGTTTATATATGTGTGTGTGTATATATATTATATATATATATTTCAAAAGTATATATATATTTCAGATATATATATATATATATACACACTGAAATATCCCTGTAGTCAAGACAGAAAGCATTTCTATCACTCTAAAAATTCCCTCATGTCCCTTTCCAGTGAATTGTCTCCCCTATAAACTGCCCCAGGCAACTGCTGATCCATTTTTGTCACTATAAATTAGTTTTGTCCTCTCTATAGTTTTCTATAAATGGAATTATATGGTATGTACTCTTTTATGTTTTGCTTGTTTTGCTTATTGTAAGACTTTTCATATTTCATCCATGTATAAATCAGTAGTTTATTCCCTTTTTTTGCTGAGTAGTATTATATGCATATACCACAATTTGTTTATCTATGCACCTGTTGGTGGATATTTGGGTTGCTTCCAGTTTTCAGCTACCATAAATAGAGCTGCTCTGAAATGCCACATAGTATAAGTCTTTGTGTGAATATATTTTTATTTCTCATTGATAAATACCAAGGAATGGAATTGCTGGGTTATATGGTAAGTGATATGTAATTTTTAAAAAATCATTGCACTCTTTCCCAATGTGGTTGTACCATTTTATATTCTCACCAGCAGTTCCAGGCTTTCTGCATCCTTACCAATGCTTATTGTGGTCTGTCTTTCTAATTTTGTCCATTCTAGTGGGTGTGTAGTGGTATCTCATAGTGATTTTAATCTACATCTTCATGATGACAAATGATGTTGAACACCTTTTAAAATGCTTACTTTTGACCCACAAAACCATTTGAGTACAAAGACATAAGCTCTAGCTGTGATTTTGTTGTGAATGAAAATAAAGATATATTTTTTATTTCTCCTGTATATTTTTAATTCTTTTTGAGTGTTATGCTTCTAAATGTGTGTGTGTATACCTTTCGAAATGAAGTTCATTTAAATTGGTAACTATAAACCTTTATCATTTAAGTAATTGATTTGTTTCATACTTTCCACTTAGGAAATGTTCATCTGTATGAAATTGTATACAACACTACCAAAAAAAAAATACCAATGCACAGTCAAAAGTAAATAGGGTCAGTCGACAACAAAACTTAAATTAGCCAGTTTGTCATTAGCTGCAGATCTGTGTGTGACCCTCTGAACAAATCTGTGTCATTTCCCTCAGAGATAATGATATCATCTTTATCATAGCGTTTGGAGTTAGATTAAGTAATATCCTGTTTAAAATACTTAGTACAGTGAAATGATTGGAACATTGTGTATTAACTGCTATATAATTGTTAGCTGTAGATAATAATTTCAAAATGTATATTATCAGTATCTTAGATTCTAGATCCTGTGAAAAGCTCATGAAAATAGGATGCATGCTGTGATCCCAGAAGACATAATAACAGGTGCAAAGAAACTGGGCCAGCTCTTACCTCATCATACTCAAGAAATGGGAAAAAATTCTGGAAAGCCCTGCCCTGTCCCCCTTGTTCCAGCTATAGTCCTTTTCTCCTTTCTTCTTTGAGCTCAGATTATATAACCTATGTTTCCAGAACCTCAGGTGTATATTTGATACATTATAATACATTTAGCTCTATTTTATTTAAAATAAGGTGATATTTTGAAACTATATTTATAGTTAATACGGAAGCATTTTTGAAAAATTTATGCCTTTGTTAGATCATAACCATGTACATTACTGCACTTATGGGGTACAATGTGCTGACTCTATATACAATCTGAAATACTCACAACAAATTGGTCAACATATCATTGATACAAAAGAAAATGTTACCAGACTTAGGAAAAAATATGGGCAGTATAAAAAGAAAATGCTTCATCTCCTACTGTGGAGGTATCAATAGAGACGCAATTTATTATTCCTTAGTGTAAGTTGTTTTCTTATTTTTGTTTTCCTGTTATAAATAATGTCTAGGTACCATAAGTTCAAACTTATTTTCTTATAGAAGCATCACTCTGAGAATAAGGGTCTAGACAAAGTGATGGAGACTCAAGCCCAAGTGGATGAACTGAAAGGAATCATGGTCAGAAACATAGGTATGTTCCATGGTATACTTTCATGTGTGTGGGCAAAAATGATAGCAGTTACTTGATTGAGGTCAAATTATTCTAGGGAGGCTGAAACAGAACTTTCTTATCCCACTATTGGCAATTGTCAGCTGAAATATGGAGGTTACTTACCTATGATATGGTCTGTTTGTATGAATGGTTTCTTCTTAGTACTGTGACTGTTCTTCATTCTAAATTTGTTAGTGTGCTTAGAAAGGCCAAGTTCTAAAAACTTTGTGATAGTTCATTAGTGTAGAATAATTTAGTCTATTTGGGCTGGAGATACCCAGATAACTCAGAAAGTCTATAGCTCTTGATTGAAAGAATTGAACCAAAAAATCTATTGTATACTTCAAAATAATAAACTGTGTTATAGTTTCCATCTAAAGGCCTATGTTAATTTTATCAAAAACCTAGTTAGCATATTCAAATAATCTAGAAAATTACATTAAGTTTATTTTTAATTGTTTTATGTGGTGGTATATAGATTTAGAATGATGCTAGATTTTTTTAAAAGCTCTGGTTCTCCCAGGTGGTCTCTAGACTAGTAGCATCAGCATTACCTAGGAACTTGTTAAAAATGCAAGTTTGGGGGCCCTATTTTAGACCTACTGAATCAGAAACTCTGGGAGTGGGACCCAACAATTTTTTTTACAAGCCCACCAGAGGATTCCAGTGTATACTCAAGGTTGAGAACCACTCTTTTAAATACATCTTCTGAGGGTAATAACTTTTACAAAATTGAATGAAAATGGTTATATAGTTGCTTTATGAGATATTTAGAGACATTGTTAAGTTTCATAAATGTCTATTTATAATCTTAGATTTAGTATTTGAATTATATTTATTCTTAGAACAGTTACAAATCATAAGAAGACTTTTTAAAAATTTGCTTAGTCTCACCATCCTAAAGATTCCTCTCCATTTTCTTTCCTTTAAGTTTTTATCTACATATATACATACATAGTTATGATCAAGGTTTATATTCAGTTTTTTGGAGGATATATAATAAAGTGATCAATATTTAGATTTTTGTGCCTGAATTTGAGTTTCAATTTCACTTCCCACTTGCTCTTAGCTCTTGAGCTCTCAAACCTCTCTCAGCTTTATTTTCTAATCGGCAAAAAAAGAGGTAACAGGAACCTAAGGTTACCAGTATAAAGGAAGTAATGTATATAAACAACTTTGTTCCTGGCACATAGTAAGAACTGAATAGTTTTTAGCTATTATTAGTCCATTTTATGCTCATATTATTTGAGTTGATACAACACAGGCTACCTAACCATGTCCTTATTTTGGACACAGCTTTTTTAGGGCAATGCTACTCAGAGTGCTGTTTTGCAGCCAGATAAGGTACTTGCTGAAAAAAAATGTAAAACAGTGCTGTGCTTCCTTCATTGAGAACTTCTTGCTGTGAAAATATTATCAATTGGACTGAACAGTGTGCTTAGAGACTTAGTTGAACCAGTTGCAAACACTCTTTAAGTAGCACTGACTTAGAGGTTTGTGTTATGATAATAGTACTGTTAAGTTTTTGTGCTTGTTATGTTTTCTTATTTTCTTGATATTCTCAGGAATGGGATTAATAATCAAAATGCAGCAACATTTTTATGGCTCTTGATACATATATATCTCTTGGCTATTGAAAGTGATTTCCTTTGATTAATTTTAGTTTTATATATCTAGATGGAAATTAGAGAATCTATTGAGAAGACCATTAATACTTATTTCAACTCTTTTTTTGTTACCAAATTCATTTATTTTGCCTGAAAGTGGAAGCAGCCAACTGCTACAATATTATTTCAGATGCATAAAGTTTCTAGAAAATCAGCCTTTTTATAATCAACTCCTTTTAAATGACTCATTTATTTGTAGAATTATAGAAACAGCAAATTGAAGATGTAAGAAAAACATTTTCAACTATTTCCCTTTGATTTGGGGGAGCTTAACTGAAACATAATACATATGCTATACAATTCACCCATTTAAAGAATGCAATCCATGGATTTTATTATATTCACAGAATTGCACAACCATTGTTACAGTCAACTGTAAAACATTTTTATCACTCCAAAAGGAAACTGTGCTCACTTGCAGTCACTTTTCATTTCCCCTCAACTCTGAGACCTAAGCAATGATCAATCTGCTTTTTGTCTCTATAAATTTGCCTATTTTGGACATTTCATGTGAATGTACTCATATAATATAGGCCTTTTATATAATGTGTGGTATTCTGGATTTGCAAATATTTTCTCCATTCTATGGGCTGTCTTTACTTTCTTAATGGTAGCCCTTGAAGCAATAAAGTTTTAATTTTTATGAACTCAAATTCATTTTTTTTTTAGTTGCTGCACTTTAGATGTCATTTCTAAGAAATTGTTGCCTAAGCTAATGGAAATTTACTCCTATGTTTTCTTTCAAGAGTTTTATAGCTTTAGCTCTTAAATTTAGGTCTGTGGTTAATTTTGAGTTAATGTTTATATGTGCAATAAGGAAAGGGTCCAACTGAATTCTCTTTAGGGTATTATCCAATTGTTCCAGAACCATTTGTTGAAAAGATTTTTTTTCTCCATTAAATGATCTTAGCACCCTTATCAAAAATTACTTATCCAAAGATTTATGGCTTTATTTCTGAACTATGAATTCTGTTCCATTTATCTTTGTGCCAGTACCACACTGTCATGATTATTGTAGCTTTGTACTAGGTTTTAAAATTAAGAAATATTAATCTTCCAACTTTGTTCTTTTTTTAAGATTGACATGATGGTACACTTATGGTTTCCCTTATTTCTCTGAGGCCCTGTTTGGTTTTCTTCATTCCTTTTTTTCTCGCTGTTCTTTAGACTGGTTACTCTCAACTGACTTGTCTCAAGCTTACTGATTCATTCTTCTGCCTGCTTCAATCTATTGTTGATCTCCTCCAGGGACTTTTTCATTTCTGTTGGTGCTCTAGAATTTCTATTTTTTTTTTTTTTTTTTTGTAGAGGCAGGGTATCACTGTATTGCTTTTAGCAGAGTGCTGTGACATCACATAGCTCACAGAAACCTCCAACTCCTGGGCTTAGGTGATTCTCTTGCCTCAGCCTTCCAATCCATTTTGTTCTTTTTTTCTTTTTTTCTTTCAGTTTTTGTGCATTTAAAAAGAGATGTTTATTTATTTATTACTTTATAAACTTTTAAACTTTTTTAAGTAAATTGACTTCAGGTTAATGTGGGAATACTAGCAACCAGGTCAAAATATTTGATTTAGTTAGGTAGAGTTTGCCTCGTGGTTATGTCCCAAACCTAGGGTGACCAGATTTTAACATTTGTAAAGCTGGACATGGGGGTGGGGGGGTGGGGGTGGAGCAGGGGATGGGCAAGGCAGGGCCTGACAACAACCCAAACTTTGATAAGCAGTTCTCGATAATCACTTCTCAACAATTATTTGTTATTATTACAGTTTAACATTATAAAATTAACAAAAATAATATACAACTCATATTCTGGCGAAATAGCCACATGGAAGCTGAAAACCATATATTACCTTCCTGTTCTCCTGCCCACTCGTGCATTCTTTCCAAAAATCGGGACTTTTTAAAAACACCGTGGGACAAATTGTTAAAAAGCTGACTGTCCCACCAAAAGCGGGACGTCTGGTCACCCTACCCAAACCACCCACCCCATGTCTATTCAATGAGAGCACTTCAAACCTGTCCCCTTCCCTCGTTACTCCTGCCCCCAACTTGAATTGAAGTGAATTTATCTCCTATTTGGGCATGCATTGGATGATCTACTGACTTCATATTAGTATTGAGGACATTGGATATTTGCTTTTCCATTCTTGGGACACTTTACTAAGAAAAATGTGTTTCAACTCCATCTAGGATATTACAAAAGATGTGAAGTCACCGTCTTTTGATGGCTGAATAGTATTCTGTGTGTGCATGTACCACAATTTATTAATCCATTCCTGAGTTCAGGGGCATTTAGGTTGTTTCCTGGCAATTGTAAATTGAGCTGCAGTAAACAATCTAGTGCAAATGTCCTTATGGTAAAATGATTTTTTTTTTCTGGGTAGATGCTTAGTAATGGGATTGCAAGGTCAAATGAAAAGTCTAATTGGAGATCTTTGAGGATTCTTCATATTTCTTTCCAAAGAGGTTGTATGAGTTTGCAGTCCCACCAATAGTATAAAAGTGTTCCCTTCTCTCCACATCTGCACCAGCACCTGCTGCTTTGGGACTTTGTGATGTGGGCCAATCTGACTAGGAGTAGGTGATATCTCAGGGTGGTTTTGATTTGCATTTCTCTGATGATTAGGGACGATGAGTATTTTTTCATATGTTTGTTAGCTATTTGTCTATCTTCCTTAGAGAAGGTTCTGTTCATGTCTCTTGCCCAGTGATATATGAGCTTTTGGCTCTTTTTTTGTTGTTGATTGAGTTCTCTAGAGATCCTGGTTATCAAGCCTTTGTCCAATTAATAATATGCAAATATCTTTTCCCATTCTGGGGGTTGTCTATTTGCTTTGGTTGTTTGTTCCCTTAGCTGTACAGAAGCTTTTCAGTTTAATTAAGTCCCATTTATTTATTTTTGTTGTTGTTACAATTGCCATGGAAGTCTTCATAAAATCTTTCCCCAAGCCCTGTCTGTGTTTTCTCCATTCTTTCTTTGGAACCAAATAGAAAACCATGAGCTGAAACTATCATCTTACAGCCACCTGATCTTTGATAAACTAAACAAGAACATACACTGGGGGAAAGAATCCCTATTCAATAAATGATGCTAGGAGAACTGGAGGACCACACGTAAAAGACTGAAACTGGATCCACACCTCTCACCAGTTACAAAAATTGACTCAAGATGGATAAAAGCTTTAAATCTAAGGCATAAAGCAATAAAAATCCTTGAATAAAGTGTCTAGAAAACGCTTGAAGATATCGGCCTGGGGAAATGTTTTATGTTCTTTTTTTTTTTTTTAATTTCTATTCCTCTATTGATCTATT